TGAAGTCCAAGTCTAAACATTACAATTTTTTTCTAAACTATATTGAGCTCTGTCTAGAAAACTTGATATTAATTGGTAAAAATATCGAAATTCCGTCTGAGTAACGTATCGCCCTCTACAGATTAAAAAGCCGTAGTATATAACCGAATTTAGTTTTTAGTCTGTGAATGTTATAATAATATTCACCAATGTTTCACCAATCTGTCCCTTATAAACACTGTGGTAAAAGAAAAACAAGTGAACACTCTTTGCGCCTCGTAACACGCCTGACGTGTCCCAAATGATCGGCCCAATTCCATTGATCAAATTAGCGAACTACATTTTTCTCTAGTCGACAGGCGATTTAATCAACAGTCACGTCGCCGGTTGCTTAATCATGAATGACGCGTTTTCGTATTCAGGGGCGTTCGTTGCCGCTAACGAGAAGACGCGATAAACTTACAAACGGTCCCGGAACATCTCTTGATTATCCGGGATTCAAAATTAACATACTTTCAAATGAAACAGATTTAACGATTCGAAACGTGAAATATATTAATATGTTAACACCTCTTGATTATCCCGGATTGCAGCAACCGTGTTTTTAGGCTACTGAAGATCATCTACGCTAACGCCAACTGTTTTGCTGGGTCCTCACAAAACTGACTCACGTTTTCCGCTCATTTAGCAGTATGTTAATGCCGTATTTATTAAATAAGTTATTAATAAAATAAGGGAAAGTCAAGTCAAAATAAATTAACCACTATAATTTGCAATTGAAACTGTTAGAAGTGTTTTATTTAATTGTGTAGTACTCGCGGGAACTACGGTCAATAAATAAAATATTTTTACGGTTTTAAACGCGAATTATTAAACTACAAATACTTACAAATAATTTTAAGTACGGCCCGACGTTTCGCATGCAGCGGTCACGGGAAGACTTTTGCACTGCTACATGACTACTGCAAATCATCCGAAACGTCGGGCGGTAGTTAAATTAATTTGTAAATATGTTTAACTTTCGCGTTTTAAACCGTTTAAGTATTTTATTTAAATACAGGGAACACTATCTAAGCGGGTTTTGAAGGCGTAAATATTGAAATGTGAGTCGGGTATCTCTAGAAGAAGTTTCAGTATCATGCCATTGGAGCCCTGGTGCGTGGTAAACGACCCCTAAAATTGCCAGCAATTTATTCAGTTCGAGGGTGACCCGGAATAAAGAGAGTGAGGCGTTTGTCACTCAGTATATTATTTATCTACGGACGTTTGGTATTGAACAGGATGTGACTGCGGCTCCATGCATTCAGCTGGTATTGCGAAGTGGAAATTTTATTCCATAAATCTTTTTCTTTCAAGCGCTATCCGTAGGTATGTCTTTGCACCATCTTAAAATAGATATTGATTAATACATACATAACGCGAAATATATGTCACAACTCATTTTTTCTATTTTTTATCTTAACTTTAGGTTGACTGGGAGAGATCGCTCGTTAGTGATAAGGCCGACTATTGCACTCCATTCTAGTATATAAGTTTTTATTCTGTATCATTATTATTTTTTGTGCAATAAAGAATAAATAAATATGTGGGTGGGCATTTCTGAGCCTGCTTTACTGATCTATCTATACTGATATTATAAAGCTGAAGAGTTTATTTGTTTGAACGCGCTCATCTCAGGAACTATTGGTTCGAGTTGAAAAATTATTTTATTAATATTTTTGTGTCGGCTGAACATTTATCTGAAAAGGTTTAAAACCTCAGGCCGCAAACGCGAAAAAACGGAAGGATTTGGAAAAAAACCGAGGAAAATTGTTAATTTTCGACCGCTGCAGAAATGGTTGGAAACCTAAAATAATGTATGAAGAAATGATTTTTAATAAAACAAATCAGTAGCAAGTGTTTTTTTACCTTGCGTGACCTCAACTTTTTATGTTGCAAGTGTAATATTAAGTTTGATAGTTCCAGTTAAACTCGACGTTGTATATATTGGAAAACTGAAAGATCTAAAAAGAAATATATAAGTGTTAATTAACAATTACCAACTGAGGGGCTCATGGGTCTAATGGTTGCGATGAAGATACATATAATCGACGTGAGTTCGATTATCACAAATTTATTGTTTCACACAACACGTTGGATCTCGTCTGAAAAATCGGAATGTTCAATGGATGGATGTAAAATGTAAATCTACCTTTCGGCTTTAGTATGTCATAAATGGTACCCAGTGCGTCCTTATTATATGTCTGGACTACTTCACTTTCTCTGTCATGAAAAGAACGGTAAGGACACATTAAGTTTTCGTTAAACATCTAAGACATGAAGGCAATTAAAACACCGGCGTAAAACGTAATTCAAAGAATTAATACAAAATTAAATTCTAATGTCGGCAGTCGTTTGATGTTCTGTGCGACCTATTTCAAATGAGGTAATCCTTTGTCTTACCTGATTACCTCGTCTCGGGAGCGACTCAGTACTGACGCGGTTCAGACTAATTTACGAGGAATGTTAAAGTGACAGAGATTCGTCATAAAACTTTTACTTCTCGCTTTTATTGCTAAACAAGAATTTCACAAAAACTATAAACTGATGTTGTAAATTGGTGGACCGCGCGGGCTGTATGTGGTCGTATTTTAGACGTCATTTTAGTTATAAATAATGTATTGAGTTTTGTCTGTGGTTTACGCGAGTACATATTATATTACCACTTGTCGTGGTTTATACCTTGCAGTAACGGCTACTGAAGATTATCGAACGCATCGAGTCCTGGTTAAATTTAATTAACTTAAATATTCTGCGTTTTAAATCGTTAAAGTGTTCTGTTTTAATACATATTTTTAAATACTGTCTGTAGTTTAAGTGAGTCTGTAGTTTACGTTTCGGATACTTTGCAGAAGACTAAATGATGATGTAAAAACTGTTACGCTAGCGCCATCTGTTCCGTCGAAGTTGGTATTTGGAGAAACTGGCCGAGTCCTTGCAGAATTGAACGCGATGACACTGGCAGCTGCAAAGAATGCGGAACGTGGTAATATAATTTTTCAATAAGTTTAATGTATTATTTAAACATCTATATCTGTGTCTGGTCTCTTGGGTCTTATTTTTGAAGTACATTAATTTAATTTTTACTTTAAAATTTCACATGTTTTTGTCACACATAATTTTCTGAATATCATCGGTTATCGCGTTATCGCTTCAGCTTGGTTTTAAAAGTTTAAAAGCAGTGGTTAAACATACATAGACAGATAAAAACACTACCGTCTCAGTGCATTAGTTTAGTTGGATATGATATCAATCAACAAACTTATTAGGCTTTATAGAAGGAAGTTTTTGTGCTTAACCAAAAAAAAATAACGATACAATAACAAGACTCTCGCATTATCTAGACAAAAACTCAAAGGTTATGTTGCTCGTAAATACTTAGATATACTTAGCATAAATGTCTTGCGCATATATTCTATACACTGTTTTAAATGTCATGTTTTATGTTATTTCCGAATGTGATGTAATATACGCAGGTTTAACATAATTTAGTATATAATAAAGAATATTACAAAATCTAAGATTAAAATATGAATATTAAATCGAAGGTCATTTTAATATTATTTAAATTTCATTCTGCGATAGATGAATCAAATTTATTCTCATATGAATCTAAGATATGGACTTTATAATTAAACAGACACCAAAAGATTAAAATCCATACATTTCATAATATAGTACTGTAGTTTACGCGAGTGTATACATTTTAATAAAACACATTTTAACGGTTTAAACGCGTCATTTATTGATATATAAATACATTCGCACTTAAACCCGTGAAAAATATTTAATTAAAACTACAACATAGCTAAAACCTAGTCCAAAACGTCGAATGATAATTTACATTCTATTTAAACATAGCTCCCAAAGTTATCTTGTCACAAATTTCAGCGGTAAAAGATATCATAGGCTTATCAATTGCCTTTAAGAAAACATCTAAATTCTAAAGCGAGGTTTTTGCTGGCGGTACCCGCTTCAGGTATTTTGTTGACAGATAAGAGCAAGCCAAGTCGAGGCCGCAGCCGCCAATGTATAATTCTGGCTTTGCGCTCTACGTGCCTACAGTCGAAAGCCGATAAAGCTTTGTTGTCTTATCGCGCCTCGCCACCAGGTCGCCTCGCCAGGCGCTGAAATTAAAAATGTTTCTTTTATTATTTATGAAGATACAGCCCTATCGGCCGTTACGATCTTTCGCGGCTAAGATATTATACAAAGACAGAAGGGAGCGCGATTTTAATTAAAATTAAACAGATTTGCTTTTCTTTAGACGACCAGCGACATTGCAATGACAATATTGACATTATTCTATTTGATCACTACAATTTATACTAGCGCGTGAGATCTTCATATTGAGTATGGTTGTGGACGCGATTTGGTAGTCGTTGGTACGAGGCTCGCACGAGTCGCTTTTTTTGATCTTCAACAAATATAAAATAAACAAAGCCTTAGGTGCGAAGCATCCGAAACGTCAGGTCGCAGTTAAAATATATTATATAAACCAATAAGTTAACTAATATATTTCGCGTTTTAAACCGTTAGAAGTTTATTTTTATTTAAATGTGTACTATTCGCTTTAACTAAATATTTCGAAGATTAACTTAGTTTTTGATATTGTATGTTCTTTATTTTCCAAAAAGGTCGTTTATAATAATATGTTAATAAGTTTTAAATTAAATCTTTTTAAATCTAATTTGGATTAAAAACAATTCAATCTATATAGATTTTTGATTTCTATAAAAATATTATCAAACATTATACAATGTATCTTTTATCTTACACATATTTTTTGTCTAGACCCATATATAAAAACAAATGTTTACAACACCATTCATCGATGGATTACAAAAACTTAAATTCATTATCAAAGTTGAATCATTTGAGTCGATACAACGGTTTCCCTTCGAGAAACTTGTTTTTCGAGGCCGAGGCATATACAAATTTATTATAATTGGACAGACGCCTCTAGTACCACGTCTATTAAGATGAAGTGTGTTATTAAATTTCTACTCCTCATAACTCTATTTATAACCGTCGCCAGTGAAGACTTTCAAGATAATCCCGAAGATGAAAAGGCCTTCCAGGAGTTTTATGATCAATACGATGACGATAAGGAAGAGAAAAAACCAATTGTCTATGATCTGAAGAAATCGAAGGAGTTGTTCACTAAGTACATAAAAGATTTTAATAAGAAATACGACACTTATGAAGATTACAAGACTCATTACAAGAACTTTGTCGAGAACCTGAAGTACATCAATAGTGTGAACTCGGGAGGCCGTTCCTTCTCGACGGATATTAATTTGTTTTCGGATATGAAAGCGGAGGATATTGGGGGGAGCAACGAGAGGAAGTGATCGCATTACGTAAGCATAAACTGGTCTTTGCTTAACATATTGTGTATTTTCAGTTTATAGAGTCGTATTGCCTGATTAAAAACAAATTGTAATGTCAAAAACCCTTTTGATAACTACTTTATAATCTTAGTTTTCTTTTTATTTTACTCGGGTTCTTCTTGAAAAGTTATATAGATAAATACTGTCTGTAGTTTACGCGAGTAGTACACAATTTAAAATTCGAAAATAAATTGAAAAACATTTTCGACTCGGGCAGGGCTCCTTCATGTGCACAGAGTAGAAGACAGTTTTCAAAGAGCAGTACACATTTAAATAACACTTTAACGGTTTAAAACGCGATATATATAAACATTACATAAGTAGTTTACATAAGTAACACACAGTAAAATAAAGCATTTTCAATACGGGAACGATCATTGAAAAACATTCTAAAGATCCAGTAAACATAGTTTATAATATGTTAGCAAATGTATTTTCTTTTTATATATTTAACTGTTTTATTTAAATATCAATGACGTTATTTGAATATGCGAAATTATAAAGAGAATGTAGAAGATACTCAAAGTTTTTTTTTGTAACTAGCTGTGCCAGCGACTTCGTCCGCGAAAATCGTTATTTTGAGCATCCAAATAAGTTTTTGCAAACCCCGTCATCTTTATAAACTTAAGCTGTTAGTCACGACGTCGATTGCGTCCCTTCCCGTCGTTCTTGCAAGTTAATCTTCAAAAATAGACATATAGCGTTGCGGACTTGTTTTTGATAATTTAAAGAGAAATTATTCTTTCATACATTTTTTTTTGGGTATCTTGTACCGTTTTTGCCGCGTACGCCTCGGAAACCCATAATGTAGATTAATTTTCCCAAATTTTTGTCACATTTCCCACTGTATCTTTGCTCCTATTAGTCACATGACGATGTTTTATAGCCTATAGCCTTCCTTTCGATCAATGCTCTAACCAACACAAAAATAATTTTTCAATTCGAACCTGAAGTTTCTGAGATTAAATCGTTCAAACAATTTGTTTGTTTGAACGCTCTTCAGCTTCATATATTAGTATAGATAGCGGAACGAACACTTGTAATACACTTTACCCAAATGCATTACTTCGTTACTCTGAACTATCAAACTTGTCATCCTATATTAGACGAGCTATAACGTCAAATCAAAGATGTAAATCTTGACATTATAATGGAGGCTTTTATGCGCCCGTTAACGCGTATAAATATCAATATTCTTAATGTCCTATTAAGGGCCCCATTCGGAACGCTTCCCGCTTCAGTTATCGATATTAATATTTACATTTTTATATGATGGGATGCCACAGAGGCCACAGTGTAAGAAACAAACAATGATCTAGTTATTACAAAATCTTTACGCCGTTTAGTGATTCAATTTTGTGTTCTGTATAATAATTTTATTTTGTTTTTTCTTTTCTATACATTTATTACAAATCAACGTTAGTTAACATTAAAAGAGACTTCGGCTCAGATTATCTTACGTAACTTGTGTATGAAAAAGAAGTTTCTTAGTCAAGTCTTTTAGTGTTAGTTAAGAATTTTAGTGTATTTTAGAAAACAAGGCAGCCATTTTGCAAAACATCTTGGATTTAGGAGTCTGTTGTCAATAAACAAATGCTTTAATAATATTTGTGTTACAAGAAATGAAAGAAACATACAATTTTAATATCGCGATTCAAGAGGCATCCATTGTAAGTTACTCAATATTACGTTGTGAATATCACAAAATAATTAATTCATAATATACAAGAGATTTCGCCTCTTAAATGGCGCTACTTTGAAAAGCCTTATGAAATTAACTTGCGTGGGTTTCATTATAAAACGTTTGCCTCCTTTCAAAGTTTTCCCTCGAAACTTCCGTTGTCAACAGCGCTCAATCATATTACTTATATTCACGTAATAAATGTTTAAAATTATTACGTTTATAACAATACATATTCAAAAAAATGAAGATAAGAACGTGATATTTATCTAAATACTAAATTTAATTCATCTACATATACATTTCCGAGCCCAACATCTAGCGTACTCTTAAACTGACCAAACTATATACTAAAATTATGAACGATGGATATAAGACAGCAACTATTGTGATAATCGAGGAGGACCTGGATTCGCTTTAAAGCGAATCTAAGACCGCCAGCAATGTTTTGCACTCGGCCATTTACACCACACTGCAAACGAGGGATGTCTCCCTTCCCCGCACCGACCCCTAGGCGCTGTTCGGAAATGGAGAGTCGAGGTCAACCCCGATAAGATCGGCAATCTCTTCACTCGTAGTCCCTTCACTACTGCCACTAAACCGTGCAGACGCCCCGCCAATGTCAAGCTTTACGGCGAAGACATTCCGTGGCAAAAATCCACAAAGTACCTAGGCGTCACGCTTGATAGTCAGTTAAACTTCCGAGCACATGTCCGTTCCGTTTCTCGCAAAGCCAACTACGTCACGAGTAGGCTAATCCGTATGCGCGCGTAGCAAACTGTCCCTCCGACATAAGGTTACGCTCTACAAAACTTGTTTCGTCCGATTCTCACCTACTCCAGCGTGTTTGCTAGCCGCCCCTAAAACACTCCACAGGCTCCAGGTGCTTCAGAACCGGTTCACCCGAACCGCTACTGGAGCCATCTGGTGCGTGCGGAATGCTAATTTCACGCCGACCTCGAATTACGACCCTCAGTCGGTACTTCAAGGAATCTCCGAACGGTTCTTTAAAAAAGCCGCGTCGATCCGAACCCACTGGTGGCCCGAGCCATAACCGTTCCCGTCAATACACTGAAAGGCCGGTAATGTTTTACCGACCCCGACGACGATCTAACGAAAGCGTCGATCTCCTTACCGCTTTGCGATCGGCCGACACCGGCTTGCGCAACCTAGCCGGCGTAGGCAGGTCACTGTAGGTACCGTAGGGTGAGCTTCCGTCCAGCTCTTCAAGTCCCACCCTTTGGGGTGAGGCGATGCCCCCTGGGGACCCTTGGTCTAGTCGTAAACACGGCGACGCTAACGCGCTCGCCCAAAACGTCCGGTTAGTATTCGTGGCTCCATAGGAACACAATACGTAATAATCAATTCAAAAAAATTGTGTGTATTGTCTGTAGTTTACGCAAATAGTACACGCTTGAATAAACACATTTAACGATTCAAAACACAAAGAAAACTAACTTAATTTATTTTAATTTTGGTGTCCCTAATTTCAGTCACATCTGCTATACTAACGTCATCTTTTTCGTCATAGTGGTTTTGGAGCAAATGGTTGGATGCTTAAGGAACTAACACACGGTGTTTGCTTTACGGTTATATTGTTTTTCTTAAGGTGAAGTCAGGACATTTAGCATTGCTGGCGTTTTACCTTTGAACGAAAACGACCAAAACTTATAAAAGCTCGTAATTAAACAAGATACAAAAGAACAAAGGCGCATAAAATAAATAAATCATAATAATCTCGGTTGGCCACAATTTTGCATGAACATTCACGCGTTGTCGGGAAGGGTCGACATAAGGCGGCATAATGAATTGAATTAGGTCCCCTTGATAACCTCTCACAATCTCTGAAACGGCCCTGGGACCCTTCAAAGGGTTAAAATAGATATAAGCCAATCTTTAAGTTACACTAAACACAACCTATAGTTGTTTTAATGAACGGAATGGGGTATCGTGTTTGTAGCCGAAAATTAACTTTCAGTTGTTTTTCTGTCTGTATATATCTGACCTCATTACCTTTTTATGAATTAATGTTGATTAATATATTTAATACTTGCACCCTTGGAGGGCACAGTAAGTTGTAGGTCCAGCTATCAGCACACATTTTACGGATGTAGTCCTTGGTGCCCACAAATCAGTGAAACAGGAAACTTTTGCTCAATATTGTTATTTTAATAAGAAGTATGATTAGTGTGTCCGCGACTACGTCCGCGTGCAATAGTTATTTTATGCTGTTGTGGATTTTTATACTTTTCTACATTTAAAGAGGAATGATTCTTCCAAACATATTTTTTAGTTTCGTTAACCGGTTTGCAGCGCACGCAGCCCTCCACAATAAATAACTTTCCCCTCGATAAGTGATCCCACACAAAATAATTTTTAATACGAACCAGTAGTTCCTGAGATTAGCCCGTTTAAACAAACGAACAAACTCTTCAGCTTCATAACAATAGCGTAGCTATGCAGGGATGAATATTTTAATTTTCTATATTATAATTGTTTTGCAACATTTCTGGAAAGGGCCGACGAATAATCAACAATTGTTTAAAAACTGTAAAATGTTGCTCCATTTCAAACATAAATTTAAACAAATTGCCAGTCTCCTTTCCAATTGTATGCAACCACATCGTAATGGGTGGCGCGGACATTAGACAAGGGACGTGCTACCTCTTATAGTCTTATCTATGCCATTCTTTAGCTCCTATCTAGCTGGAGAGCTGGTGGCAGTAATTTAGCATTTAATTTTCTGTTAAATGTTTACCCTACTGGGTAAAATAAACTCATATATCATGGGCCGACGTTTCCGTTGCTTTGCACTAATGCAACTAATATACATCACGTTTTAAACCGTTAAAGTATTTTATTTAAATGAGTACTATTCGCGTAAACAGACGGCATTTAACTCTATTGTTTATCAATCGCACTAACAATTGCTTGATAAATTGAAAATGTTATTATTATCAAAACTAAATGTTGAAAGTATTAAGGCGTATTTTTATTTTATAAACATGAAGGTTCCTTTCACTCAATTCCATGTCTGTCTTTAGAATAGGGGATGATAAAATGTCTGTGTCTATTTCATTAATATATTTTTTACAGGCAAGTATTTGAGCAGACATTTGACCAACAATTTCTCGTTAGAAAACTTTAATATTTTTTTACATGTTATTGCACATGAAGGCGCTATATATACGATGCACGGAACGCTGACGATGTCGGTTCAAGTCCTGCCCGAAACGAAATTTTTTTCAATTCATTTCCGATTTTTAAATTTCTCGTTACC